CACTACAAGGTGCAGTACTGCCGCGCCGACTGGCCGTCGCTCTGGGCGCAAATTACGAGCGGCGTTCAGAAGACGCTGACGCCCAAGATCGGCGTCTATGTCTCGGGCCCCAAGACGTTGTCGCGCACTGTCGATGCGATGGCCAACTCGACGCTCTTCGATGTCCACCACGAAGAGTTTGAAATGTAAAAGCAGTTTTTAGAGATAAACGATGCAAATATTTTCAATGAGTGATGTAATACCTTCAGTTGAAATCGTCTCTGGCATCACGAAGACTATAACACGAACTTTTGCGTGTCCAATAGATCACTTCATCTTTGTGAGCATGCGCGCGCAGACTAAGTTAGACTAAGTTCTTACTTGCCTTTCAAATAGGCTTGGTATACAAGCCTCTCAAGACTAATATATGGCTCGTGATGCATTTTCGAGGGTATTTCTACATGAGACACGAGGTCCGGGGCGCGGAAGCTCCACAACAGCTTTAACGCCACGCTACGGCAGCTAATCCCGGTCGCCGACGACGCTACAAGAGTCAGCACTGCAACAAATAAGTAGGCAATGCTATAGTGCGCGTGGTGCAGCTAGTGAAGGACGGTGAGCAGCGGCTTGCTTGCTCGGACGGCAACCTCGGCCGTGTCGGACGTTGAGCTCTGTTGTCCTATCTGTTGAAGCTCAATCGCGGAGCTCAGTGTCGTGGCGATGACATTTGCGTGAATTTTAGCCAATCCAAGCGCCTTCTTGCGTACATTAAGGCGGCTACTGGTCGAAATACGTCGTAATCCATAGTTTTTCATCAAAAGCTTCAACTGATTGGTTAAAAAGCATCACAAGGAACTCAAGCCGCATAACTACACTAGAAAGCCAGGCTTCGCGGGTGTCAATGAGCTGCATACCTTTCAATCTATTTCCCCTCTTTCTTTGCATATCGTGTACGCAAACTTCGCACGTTTGGCACGTTGTTCGTCGCGCCGTGGCGCCTTCGCTTGCCGAGTCGCTCCACGCCCTACGCGCCGACCCTTGGTGTGCTCGCTACCTCACTCCCCACTCAAATTGAGCCTCGACCAAGCGCCCTCAGCTTGACATACCGGTCAAACCTCACGAGCGCACTAGGAAGTCCACCATCTTCACTAACTCATTTCAACAACGTCGCGAGAATAATGTTCCAACAACGCGACAATGTCGTGATAACGTCACAACAACGCCGCGACAACGTCGAAACAGCGTCACAACAACATCACGACCAGGGTTAACCTCGTGTTTTCTTGGGGCAGGTTTTGGTCGAGCTCTTTGGTTGAGGTTTGGCATTGGGGTAGCGTGCAATCTAGACGAGGGATCGTGTATTATGTGTGACGTAGTTCGGACTTGTCGGTGGACGGGATCATGTGCATTGAAGTTCAACGTACCCTG